ATTTCTGGTTATAAAAGCCGAATTTGACATATTGAGAAATTCTGTCCATCTCAAGTAAATTGATAGCGAATAGTTATCTGTATCGATTGAGATATACAGAAAGTTCTGCTGATACAGTCCCACCTAAGCATAGTGACATCCAAAATTCCTAATCAGGTATATTATGTCCGAATATCCGTGCATCATGACTATTTATTACGCGGTAACGTCGCTCCAAAGCAGCAATCATGATACACAAATATCGAAAAGGTGACGGAACTGATTATCCAATGTCACAGTGCGGAAATAATGGGACCACATGAACGGAGTCTTCTGGGATTTACCAGAAGGGATTACCGGAAAGCGATGTTATTTCTAATAAGAAACGACGTGGCCAACGCAAGCGAAGAAGCCTTCTTCTTCCGTGCGCGTTCGACTCGTCGAGAAAGAGGCGCCGGGCTCACTCGCGAGAAGCAAGATCGGAATACCATCCGTCCAGTCTGGACAGGTGCGCATAAAGCAAAAGGGGAACGGCAGGGAGACAGAGGGAGGAGAAGAAATGATCTGTCTTGGTATGCCGAGGGGGCCCGGCGCGGCCTCTCGTGAATCGCCGGATTCGGGGTCCGCTGTTGCCGGTCGCGCGCTCTGCTGCTCACCTGACCCGAATATTTTCGTCCGTTCGAGCGTATTATCGATCGTCATGACGAATTTCGCCATTAGATCGTGAGCTTCGCCACCTCGCTTTCACCCTATCGGTATTGATAATGATATATGGCAGTTTTGTTCCGGCGTATTTGCACAGCCGTAGTACCTCTCGCGATCCACTACGACCAATCTGTAGCGGCTGCGGTGGCGCACTTAAAAAACCGTTAACGTTCCTCTCGTCGCTTTTTGCATCCGACGACGGGTCCAGCGCGCGCGGAGAAGAACACCACCGGTAGCAGTGTAGTATCCTAGACGAGTTTATTGCGGTTGAAATTGCACCGTGTCGCTTATTGCCGCGCGGCGCTGCATTCTTACCTAATCAGCGGCTTATTTTGCCTGCTCGCATTTTCGGCGTGCACGTCACGTAAGCATCAAATCGCGTTGTGTCCAGATAGAAATTAGATCCTAGATTTTCCTATATACAGCACAGATTCCAATTGGGATGGCCGAATTTGTAAATCATAAGTGCGGAAAATATTTCATATATTTTGTTCATTCGTATTGTAAGATGAAAACCAGAAAAAGTCCTTGGAAAGGTGACAAAATAAATTAATTAAAGTAACATAAATAAAAATCTAGGTGGGTTTGTAACGCAAAATTGTTCGCCGTGTAGGTTTCCCAACTAAAATCTAGAATGATTTCGGGAAATCGGACGCACGATCGCTTTCCGTCGGTCGTTTCGCAAACGATCTATTTCCATCGGATGAATTATCGCGTTACATTCATTCGCGGCGGCGTTTGCGAACTCAGATTGGAAGTCGAGCACTCGCTGGCGCGAAGCTAATTGGGAAAACGAGGCAACGACGATAACGAGAAGAGAAGAGAGCGAGCGGTCTCCGAAGTGATCTAGCGCGTTAGATTAGATCGCCGCGAGAGCCGACAGATCGCACGTCGCCGGTAACAATCTGCGAGCGGGGGAAGGATAAGGCGTCGATACCTGTTGCGGAGATACGCGTTCGCTACCGTAAAGAGCGACGATACGTGGAACATCTACGACGCGCGATGAGGGGCGAGGGCAGGAGGAAAAAGAACAACGCGAAGAAGCGGATAGACACGCGTGGAACGCGCACGCACGCGGTCTGACGTAACGCGGAAAGAGAGGCGCAACCTCGCGAGGAGGAAATTAGTTTCGACCAGGTAGGCTCCATTTACGGCGTAGATTACTGCTCAAAAAGAGAATCCCGCGATCCACCCGGCCTGAGATCAGAGAGCGTAACGGCGATACAGGCGTGGGAGGAGGATCCGTATAGAAATTTCTCACAATGTTCCCAAGCAAAGAATAAATTCCTATTAGAATATCCAAAGATGTCCGGAAATGGGTTCACTACGATAGCAATTGGAAATCCCATTTTTATCTCAAACATGGGATAAAGTCTCTTTCCCGCCTTTGTGTGGCAAAAATGATGAAAAACTTTCGAGTGACATCTCTAGCTGCTCAGTTAGCGTATAATATTGTATTTATCCGATGCAGAAATTCTGTAGCTTTTGTAACATTGCACTTCGAAGCAAAGGACTTGCGTAGATTTCCCAGGTAGAATCCACGATTATTTTGAGAAATCGAACTGGATCCCAATTAGATCTACGGAAAGGGGGGGGGGGCAAGATTCGACAGGTGGGTCGAGAGGAAACGCGAAGGGAAAAGGCGAAAATCTCCGTCCGATACGCGGAACGTACCGCGTAGCCGCGTGTGAGCTGGAAAGAGAGGGCACCGTCTGGTCGAAGAGAGGAGGAAGGGGGCAGAGACGGAGGTCGAGGAAGCGGCGTCGACCGAGTGGATCGCGAGGGAACGAGACGGAGAGCGCGACAGCTGGCGGCGCGGATGGTGTGTGCGCGGCGATGGTCGCTCGGACGGTGGTGGTCCAGCGAACGGGTATACCGAGCGCGGCACTTGCTCCGCGCGCGAAAGAGCGACGAGGAGAGCGGGAGAGAGGGAGAAGGAGAGAGAAAGAAAGAGATACTTGCCCCCTCCTGCCGCGGGCGGCGCCACTCGAGGAGATCCTTTCCTCTTTTCGCCTCTAGGCCATTCTCGAGAGGCGCGCGCGCCAACGCGGTGTCGCCCGATCGGTCCTCGCCGACCTTCGACCAATACGCGGCCATCCGAAAGAGTGCGCGTCGCCGCGACGACAACTTTCCGCCGGGTGACTTTTTCGCGAGTGACCTCGCGCGCGGTTCGTCGCCGCTTCCTCCCGGGTGGCTCCGTTAATCGTCGCCGAAAGAAGAGACGTTTTCTTCTTCCTCTTTTTCTGCCGCTGCTGCTACTATTACTACTACTACTACTCCGCCCCCACGTGACACCGGGCGACCACGTGGCCTGCGTGCGATCGATCGATCGCGTCCTCGCCGCGGGACGTCGACGTCTCCTACTACCGACCGTGTGAAGTTCCGGAAAGTGGTGGTGGTGGTGGTGGTGGGTGGTGGACGGTGGTGGCGGTTGTTTTCGGTAGCTTCCGCGCGCCGGAGCGGGGAGGAGAGATTGTTATCCGTACGGGAGGTGCGCGTTCGGAACGGCGATTTCGGGATCGATCGGGTGTAACGCATCGTCGGCGGGATCGATCAGAAGGTGGAAGCTGCGTGATTTATTACGGAAAGATCGAATAACACCGGAGAAAAAGAGAGAGAGAGAGAGAAAGAATATCGGCATGCCTGCACGCCGCCGCCGTGCGCGTCGATCGATCGGCGCGCAGGTACGTACCGGCCACCATCTACGTCTGGATTCCGCGGTGAAATCGGGCCGGGTCGAGCGGCCAGACCGTCGATTGTGAGAACGGTAGCCGAACCTGCCACGTGACTTTCGGGTGATAGTCGACGTTTCTGCGTCGTTGGGCACGGTTGGACGCGTGATACCATCATCGCCGGAAAAACTGCGCGCTGGCCGAATGACGTGGAACACGGCGGCCGCGATGCCGCCTTCCGCACGAGCACGAGGAAAACGCGACGAGATGCCGCTTAATTACGCGACGACGTTCCCGGCCACTTTAGAGTTCCGGCTGACGCTCGGATCTCGCCGGGAATAATCGGAGAGTCGAACGCGCGCACAGGCGAGGTCGAGTCCCTCTCCTTCCTCCCGGAGCGTCGAAACCGCTCGTTCGGAAGCATCGCGCGAACACGAGGATATATCGTGACGCAACGCCGTCACCGTGGTGTATCGAACGCGACAGAATTTCGCGAGCCGCTTTAAATATAATACGTATTATATAATGGAGTAAGAGAAGGAGAAACCTTCTCACGGCGCCTGCTTCTCAGACCGAACTTACGGAGTAATGTTCCGCGGATTACAGCGATAGTTATCACCGTGTGATTGACGTACGCATGATTGCCTGCAAAAGCGAATCCGCTCGCTCGGTCTTGTTAAAACGACTCGTCCGCGATTCCTCCTGGTCCTCGCGATCGAGATGTCGAAGCGGACGGCGCGCTGACAGCTGTCGGTAAATACCGCTGACGTTCCGGGTTCTCTTAATTGAGTGGAATATAATGCACGCCTCGAACTAAAGAGAGACAGAGCGTAATTCCATCTCTTCGGCAATAGTGAAAGTTGCATCTGACAGTAGATTTGCATACAATTATTTTAGCTCGTGCGGGAAAGGGAGAGGAAATGTCGCACGCACGCGCGCACGCTCGTTAATAACGCGGAGCGCTCGAAACAATACGACGCCTGTTGGGGCGTTCGAGATTAGACGCGATCAAAACGAGAGATGCGCGTCGCTGCAATTAACGGTGGTCTCGAGTACGTACGTCGATTTGTACGTGCGCAGGAAGCGTAATATCCGACGAAAGAAAAAGGAAAGAAACGCTCCGCTGAGAACGTACGCAGCGCGGCACGCGAGCGCCGTTTCTCTTAAACAAATAGGGTTTATAATGGGGGGAGCGATCATTACGTCGTCAAGGGAAGATCGATGCGACTGAACAAACGGATATTACCGAGCGTACGTTCGGAATGATCGCCGTAATTGGCCGAAGTTTAACAGCGAAGGCGAACCCTTCCTCATCAAACGATCATTAACGAACGATATCGGCGCCGTTCCGGCCGATCAGACCACGAAGACACGCCGAGACTGGATTGACATTCGAGCGTGAAGCTTCGAGAGAGACTCCCCTCTCGTTATGGAGATATCGTTGCGCAATCGCCGCCGGAAATAGGAGGCCGACACGCAACCGTGCTCTTCGCGATCCACGTGGACGATTAGCTGATAATATAATCCGACACAACACGCGACGAAGAGGTCGAACTCTATGTGTTCACCCGATCGTTGCCGGTTGATCGCTTATCAGCGACGATCCCGAGCAGGTAGCGACGATCGGCGAAGACACGCCGCACCATGTCGGTTCTGGAGGCCGGCGAGGCCGACCGAACGACGATGTCACCGTTGGACGAGGTCGTGTCGCCGACGAGCGTCGAGTCGGAACTGATGGTCACCGACATGTTGGACGAGCACGAGGCGGCGGACGCGAAGCGCAAGAGGGACACGGACGGCGAGGAGCTCACTCCGCGGAAGCTGCCGTCGCTCACGAGGAACAACAACGAGGTCGGCTTCGTCCTCGAGGAGAGCCCTGACGACGACAGGGATGACGTGAGTCTTCTTCTCAGCGAGATGTGGGTCGCTCAATCGCCGATAATAATCTCGTGTTCGGAATAAGAATGTTCTAATCTGTATATGCGAACATTTCCATACGGGGATCGTTAACTTTACGCGCGTCCGCCTCGGGCTAGAAGAAGGCTCCACGGAGCGAACTGAAAGCGAGAAGTTGAACGTCATAAAGTGATCTCTCGGTACCCCTCGGATTTTTATTGCGGAGAACTATATAACTGTCGAATAGGCGAGCGTTAAAAAAGGAATAAGGATTTCTTATTCGCCGGTTTCTTTCGCGGAGAACTATATAATTGTTGAATACGGCCCTTTTAGAGGCGAGCTCGGACATTAAAGAAGGAACAGCGAATAACATTTTCTTATTCGCGGTTTCTTTCGCGAAGTACTTCATTGTCGCGTCGGCGAGTGCCAGAGTGGGAAAGCAAACGTGCAAGCGAGAAGTGAAACGGGAAAATCACGAAGCGACTTATTCCCGGTGCTGAATTTTTATCACGTCTCTTTCGCGAGATACTACGATCGTTGAGTAGAGGCGGACGTTAAAAGAGAACGGCGAATAATAATAATTTCTTATTCGCCGTTTCTTTCGCCAAGTTCTTCATTGTCGCGCCGGCGGATAAATAATCTCGAGTCCTGTTGCGTGAGGAGGGAATTCTCACGTGACATGGCAGAAGGAAAGAGAGACGTGCCCGCCTACGCACAGTTATACCTGTTTCAGAGTCCCGCGAACGTATATCCTATTCTCGACAACAAATCAGCCGCGCGGATCCACAATAAAACTCGACTATTAATGCGTGCTCTTTCGCGCTTTAGGAGGAGGTGGAGATCCGCATCGCCGCGCCGATTATCGCTCTTCGCGACTGTTCCCCCCATTGTAATCGGCCCGATTCTAAACGCGATGCATCTCCGTCGCGATCTTTTCTCCCGGGCTCTATCGGTTTAATGGCTTCATTGTCTACGGGCATTGTGTTACGCGCGTCGAGGGAAAGCCGCTGTCGTATCCGTCAAATTGGACGGCATTCCGTTTGATTCGCCCCGATGTCGTCGATCAATAACGTTGCGTCGCGAAAGGGGGAAAAAGACGGTACGCGCGCAAATCATTGTTCTCCTCGCTCGCGCGATAGCGTCTCACTGGCAGGGTCGCTAATTGCCACAGGTGTATCCGCGACGTCGTTATTGCGAACCGAAAGATTGTCACGATCGACGAAAGAATCGGCCACCGAGAGCGACGAGCGTAGGCAGGAGTAGTAGAGAGGAGGAGGTGGAGGCGCGCGAAACAGGTTTCAGGAAAAATCCGGACGCGATTCCGAGATGTGATGCGGCGGCGTCTCCGATGTAGCACGTGGCTGCTACGCCGATGACGACGGCGATGATTCCACGAAGTCATCGTCAGCCAGGATTCCATTAACCGCGTTTCCAGCCGGCGAGCGAGCGGCCGAGCGGGTGCGAAAAAAATGACCCTTCGCTACCGGAGTCTCGTGTCGTTAATTATATCCCCGCGCGAATCGGCGCTTTCGCGGTATCTAACCATCTAAGACCGCGGAGAGGTTTTACCCTACTACCACACTATTAGATGGAGCTTCACGCTTCTCTCTCGTGCGCGAGATGAGGGAAGATTAGCCGGTTAGCGTACGTTTCGGCGAACGTTTCGTGACCGATGACGTTTCATTTGGGAAACGACTGCGCGATGGGAACGCGGCGACGTCTCTCTCTCTCTTTCTCTCTCTCTCTCTATATATATATATATATATACTTTTAGTAATCGTCTCTCCACACATATAACTCTCAGCCTGGCCTGCCATTCTCTCTCTTTCTGTGGAAGCGCACGGCCGGTAGTCGGCCGCGCGATTTCGTCGGGAATCTCGTTGGTAATTAAGGGGACACAATGTCCCTGCCCCCCGACGAACGCGGCAATCGCGCGGGATAACGACGGGAGTCATTTGAAATGGTAAGCACGCGGTCGATTAAATTTGAATTTTTGGTCGCGCCGAGAGAAAGGCGCGGGGAATCGCCGCCTCGATGGAAATGTTAGTACTTTTGCGGGCTCGCGCTATTTATTAGTGCGCGTATACGAGAGGCCGCGCCGTCTACGTAAATATCCGCGCATTACTGACAAATTGTCGGCGATTAGTTGCGCGCGTAGAGAACGTATGTCGCGGTTTCTTAAATAACTAACTCGAACTCGGATAAGCAGCACCTAACGTAGCATTATCGCGTAATCTTTACGCCGACTTATGTAAAGATACGACCATTATGATAAATCACAGTTAATAATCTGAGTCGACGGCGGGCTTTAATAACGCGCACAGTGATAAAATGCAGATTTGTACGATTAACCTGCGCCTCGACACGACGCGCGCCATCGGGAATTGCGCGCGGCATTGTAATCATTACGTGCATTTATTTGTGTCTTTTCCCCTCCCTCTCGAGGCGGAGCGGCGAAAACTTGAAATTCTTCCAACTTAAAAACTAAAATCTTAATTAAAACTTAAATTTCAACCTTTTAATTCTGCAACACGGTAGGAACTAAGATAGCATTCATTTCTAGTGACATAATTTATTCTTACTCTGACCATGATGTCATATTTTCGTTTTCGCTGTTTCAGCGTGAAAGTAAGTTGTTTCGAATATTCATATAAATAATTGAAATATCTAAAGCATTTATAGCTTCAGGGCGCAGCATTACTGTTAAATCTGTCTGTTGAAAGGTTCAAGAGAGAAGTTAACAAGTATGTTATCGACAAAGTAGGTTCCCACTAGTCCGGGTCATCTAAGTAGGCGCAAGCTATCCTTATGAGCATCAAAATTTCGACTTGGGCGTACGTTCGAGAGAGATTCGCACGGACAAGATCGAGAAAGCCGTCGCATGTCACGAACACGTATCGACGAACATGTCGATCTTCGTTATCGTGGGCTTTACGAAGCACAAATCGTCCGGAGAGTCGCGCCGTGGAGGCAAAGTGGAGCCGGAGGAAGTGAAAGTACCGAAAATGGCGCTCTAAAATCGGCCTCCTCGACCGTGTGGATAATGTCGTCTCGTTAGGAGGCCAGTAAACAGCGCGATTGATCGCCGAAAGATCTCCCGTATGACAGTTTTAATGGTCCGCGAGTAATCGCCTTCGCCGACGATGCGAGCGATTAAAGGTGAAGTTGGCGAGCGCGCCTTTCACGTGTGCATCCACCACCACCGCGTAAGTACACGCGAGGCCTTATGATGGATCGAAGCTCGGTAACTTCGCGCGAAGATTCCGCCGAGATATGCGAGAAACCAGGAACTCCTATCACGTCGGGGCTTCACGTACGACCGCGAATTTTCGCAAGAAACCATCGGAGCTGGATTTTTCACATCCGCTCCAAGTATCATTCATACGTTCACTCCGATAGGGAATAACCGCTTTTTATCGGACAGAGCTAGATGCTAATGCCGATTGGATAGCGGTGGAATACCGGGATGATGGTAACAAGCCAAGACTCGAGTATTTTCTATATAACTATATCGCCGTTAACCTCGAGGAATACATATTGGAAAATGTCATTTTTCGCCGCGAATATCTCGACTTCGAATAAGTCAGTCGTTTTGAATTTTCGTCATTCGTAAGAAAGAAAGAGCAGAAAGGGAAAAAGGACGAGGTCTCAGCTGGAAACGCGGTAGTCTAAAGACCGAAGATAAATCACCCCCGGCATCGCGGGTAATGATAGGTGTGTAAGACGACCGCGCACGGTGATATATCGTTCGGTGGTCGAGGATAGCGCTTGAAATTCCGGATGAATGATAATCCGCGGTGTTTGCGCGTGTACGCGATTTCCGGCGCGGCCTCGCCGGAGGAATGCTTCATGGCGGCATAAAAGCTGCTGAAAAGCCGATCGATCCGCGAAATCGCGCGCTTCCGGTTATCAATTTGACCCGCCCGGTAGTCGCGTTTCTGCTCGGCTGGGAAAATCCCGAGAAGTTTCGCGTCCTCCGGATTCTTCGGTGCGCGCGAAACGCCGCTTTTTTTTACCCTCCCGGTTAGACGATAAAGATCCGGATTAAATCGCGCGCGCGTCGCGCGTAAACGCATAAACACACCCGTGGCGCACGCCGAGGCGCGGCAGACCCAATAAACGACTACGTAGCCGACAAATTTATCCGCGTAACAGGCGTTTTACTCCGGCGCCATATATTATTACGTCCGCCGGTTTATCTCCGCTACGGTGCTTGCGCTAGTTGCTCGGTAGCCCGCCTAGAGACCTCGGCTGCTCCACTTGCGGCCTCTTCTCTCTCTCTCTCTCTCTCTCTCTGCGAATCCCGCACGTACCGCCCACGATATTGCTTGAAATACCGATGGGATATACCGGCGAGCGTTTATCGCGCGATAATGAATTTTGATAGTACGAGTTAATAATAATCCGAGCGCGTTTGAAATACGATGGGACTCGCTACATCGTACGGAAGGTGGCCTCGCGGTGCTGAAATCTGTCGCTTTGCATGCCACGCTAAATCACGCTCGTAGCATCTAAATTGGCTGCCGAGTGTTCACTCGAGAGTATATGCGGCGGCTGCAAAAATCCTGAGGTTCCGTGTAAAACTCACGGAGCATGTGAGAACATCGTTGCGCATCGATCCGCGGATCACTCCTGTTGATACAATGATGCCGGTCCGCTCGAGCATCCCGTCCGGGCCGTACGTAAAATATACACGCTGATGTAGCGCGTGTCACTTATATTACGCTCGGCAGGATCTACGGGCGGAATTAGGTGCACATGTGCGGTGGAAGCGGCGCGAGATAAATGAAGAGGAAGGCGGCGATGCATCCCCTCCGCACGATACATCTCTCGTTCCGCTCGGCGAGCAGCCGCTCTTCCGCGCGAGATATTAGCGAAACGCGATGGACGAACGAACGTAAAATCGTGATATCGGCATCTGTCGCATAAGCACTTAGGAACTCGCGCTGAGAAATGAATTTGGTTAGATCTGCCTGACGAAAGACCGACCGTTTTGAAGG